GAACTCCTATTCCTTATGCAAGCATTTACTCTGCCAGTGCTTCAGAAACAGGCCCTTAGACAGAACACATTTCCAACACAATAGGTCGACTTTAAAGGAGCGCGAAGCAGTCCTTATAACACAAATTCGCGTTCTTGTGTGTGTTATGCTCAGACATCAGAATCCCTGTGTGTGCCGGCTTTTTTGCTGAACTTTGTAGCACTTTAAGAAGGCACGGTTCAGTTGAAGCAACATGTTTGAGTTGCTTCAAAGTGATTCGTACATGTTTGTGTTCGTAACCTGACCCTAACATTGACGTAGCACGGAGCAAACTCTAGTAAAGGAATGCGTAACTCGAGTCAAGGTAAACGGCTCTCCCATTTTGGACACATGAGAGACAAGATAACCGCACCAATTTACATTCCAAATCGCAGCACTTCTACTCCGAACGGCTGGCACCCCGTGTCGCCAATATTTGTCACAAATAGTAGGCGAAAAGTGCTAAACTTTGTTGAAAGGCGAACAGAAACATTCATGTTTATACATCTCGACCCTTAGATTGGTGACTCAAGACAAGAAAGACTCCAGAAACTCATTGTAAAGATGAAGTAGTTTCCCTTGATACGTGGACTGAAGAATGCCAAATAGAAAGCTAACCATGTCCAACTATAGTTACCTGCAAGTTATGATTACAGTTTTCTCCCCATCCCAACTTGCGTTTTCAGACAATATTCGAGCATGAGCGGTCACGTCTTGAGGCGATAACTGTGGCAGCTCATTTGGTTGTGTGTGCATCCTGTGAATATCGCTTTTGAAAAAGGAAAATTGTACATCACAAAAGAACCCTAATAAATGGGAAATAGCAGTAAATAAAATTGGATTCATAGTAATGGAAAATGTAAGTAAAACAAATACAGCTCACCATCCTAGTGGCTCCAAGTCCTTTAGCAACTCATGCTGTGGAAGATGAGAAGGAAATTGCACTTGTTGATGGTTTCCTGTTTGAGGCACCAATACAACACATCGGATTTCCTTACCTGCGGATTGTCAGCAGGTGAAACACCGTATAAGAAGCCGCCAATCTGAAACATAAAAATGTAGTAAATCAAAAAGAAGTCATCGGTAGCCAAAAAAAAAAACATGAATATTGCGTGTTTTCCTGGGCTGCATTCACTTCAATGAAAAAAATCAAAACACCTCACTTCTGTGCCCTTTTTGACGCTCGTTCTACGAGTTCCTCTGACGTATCAATCATACTCTAGACGTGAACGTGATCTATCAAATGCTCATACTAGCCGTTCTGTTGAATTTTATTCCATATACACCTCGAGATTGAACCAAATACACTATCCCTCACGACGCACGATCTTGATGCTCTCGGCAAGCTTTAAGCAGCTGGTAATTGAAATATCTTACATACTATAAAGCGCTTCGTCTGTCGTTCTGTCCCTCTGTCTGTCGTTCTGTCCCTCTGTCTGTCGTTCTGTATGTCTGTCACGAAATTCCCTAGCTCCTCGGGATCCGCCTGGAGGGACCGGGTCAAGTGTGGGATGGGTGGGCAGGGTCTCACGTAATACAAAACACACATCAGCTAAGCGGAGCCCCGCCCACAGAGGGCGTGGCGTGCGTCGAAATGAATTGTACCAAAGACCAAGATTTCGATTTCAGTGACAAAACGACTCGAAACTGGGCCAAAAAGTGGGTAAGGTGTGCATTGGTAAGTCACATCGAATTAGGGAGACCCCCCCGGTGGGCGGGGCGTTCTCTAAAAAAGCAGTGCTTTATGAAAAATTTCATAACTCGGTTGGGAGAAAGCCTACAGAGCAGAAAACAATTTGGTGTAAGGGAGCAATGTCTAAGGTGTTTCCTGCATACATGACGTGGGCGGAGGCCTGCCCAGAATGGGCGGGGCGCGCTCTGAAGTGTACAGCATTTTCTACAAGCCCTCATAATTCGGGTCGGGGAAGTCCTAAAGAGCCGGAAAAAGGTGGATAGAGGTGTATGGAGGAGTGGAGGCCAGCTATCAATGGTGGGCGGGGCTTGACCAAAGTGGGCGGAGTTTGCGACGAAAATTTATAACTCGGCTCCATGAAGCTCCGGAGGCTGGGGAAAAGGTGGATGGAGGTGGGTGGGGGAAGTGGAGGCCAGCTGTCATCGGTGGGCGGAGCTTGACCAAAGTGGGTGGAGTTTGCGACGAAAATTCAGAACTCTGTTCCAGAAGGTCCCGGAGAGTGGGGAAAAAAGAAGATATAGTTGGGTGGGAAAGTGGAGGTCAAAGGCCAGTGGTAGGCGGGGCTTGGCCAAAGTGGGCGGAGTTTGCGACGAAAATTCATGACTCGGCTCCAAGAAGTCCCGGAGGCCGGGAAAAAGGTGGATGGAGGTGGGTGGAGGAGTGGAGGCCAGCTGTCAATGGTGGGCGGGACATGACCAAAGTGGGCGGAGTTTGCGACGAAAATTCATAACTCGGCCCCAAGAAGTCCAGGAGGCTGGGAAAAAGGGAGTAGAGGTCGGCGAAGGAAAGGAGGTCAAATGCTATTAGTGGGTAGAGCACGCACCCAAGTGGGCGGAGTTTGCCAAAAGTATCGCAATTCGGTTGCAAGAGGTCCTAGAGATAGGGGAAAACGGGGTTAGAGGTTGGTGAGGGAAAAGAGCTCAACTGCTATCACTGGGTAGAGCACGCACCTAAGTGGGCGGAGTTTGCCAAAAGTGTCGTAATTTGGTTCCAAGAGGTCCCAGAGACCGGTGAAAAAGGGGGTAGAGGTCGGCGAAAAGAAGGGAGCCAAATGCTATTGGTCGGCAGGGCACGCACCGAAGTAGACGGAGTTCGCCACGAGATTTATTGTCCGGGCCGAGGACCGAGAAAATAGGATAATGGTTGACGAAGAAAGAGCGCATAGAATTTAGCGGAGAATTCAGATATTCGTATTGTATCAAGCCAAATTTGAAAATTTTCGTCGCACCATCAAAATTCGCCACAGATCTGTGTTGCGCGCGCAATGCGTGCGGCGCCAACTGGTAATATAAAACCACAACTATGTAAACTTGTTTTTTGGAATTGCTGACCTGTGTTCTGAGATCCGATATAGTGATAAACTTTTTAAGAACATTCTTCGGAAGGATGTATGTGAATCCTGTATCCTTGACATCATCAGAGCTCACATAAATATGCTGAGTTCTAAATTAAATAACTACAAACTACTACCAGAATTACGGACTTCTTCCAAGGTATCTACATTTCAAATATCACTACACAAACAAATCTATCTACCTCAAATGCAGATTCGTGGCGGAAATGGCGCGAATCCTCCACTCTGTACGACTGGCGAACGTAGCAGCTTCATAATTGGAGGTCGTCGCAGTGATTATTTCGTCTCCGTGCTTGTTAACCGTGCGAGTAGTCGTGGCCGTAACCTTGAAGAAAACACGATTGACATCAGCATACTTGAGAAAGCTATGCTCCGCAAAGAGCATGCCCGTGTGATATGATTGCAGCGAGTACTATAACAATTTAGAGCAAATCAACCCCTCCCTATCTGTTTGCCTCCACATTGCTCTTCACGTCCTTACTAGTGTTATTCTTCGGTCTGAGTGTTTCACGTGACACACTCAGATTACTGAGTAAACTACCAGTGAGGCTGTGAAAAAATTCAAAAAATGCAGCCCAAACGCATATTAAATGAAAAACTGAAGAGGAAAAAACAAAAATAATAGACGAAATGAGAGCTGGAATTACGCATTCATGAACTTTACCTGACTCTGCTCCTTCGTTTGCTTCTCAATGTCGGCAATTTGCTGTCTTTGTTGACTTGGGGCAGATATTTCCATACCAAGGATGATGTCTCTTACTTCAGACTGCGTCAAGGACGCGACGTTTACATTGTTCTTTTTACCGTAATCAGCCAAAATCATGTCTTTGAGAGCCAACTCAACCTAAACATAGTAAAAACTGAACGATGCCCGCCTACACAACAATAATAGTTCACTTCAAGGTTGAAGCAATTATGCATGATAGCACCGTTGTACCGCAACAGGTCATGAGTCATACCTTAATCCACTCCTCATCAATTAGTGAAGGCCAGATGTGGTGAGGCTCAGTGATTGTTGTTTTGTCCGGCTTCAAAATCACCTGAACGCAAGAAAATTTGATCGTACAAATCTTATGAACAAAATCAGCTCGATAGGAATGAACTTCTGAATCACCTTTGTTTTGTCAGGATTGATGTGCATACCACGCATTATCAAAATAACTCGAGAAAATGCTGTATAACTTGATATAGTCTGAAATCAACGTTCACGAGATAAAGCGTATGAAAAGAAGTCGACCTTTACGCAAAAACAAGGTGAGCAAAGAGTTAAAATCAGGTTTGCAAATGAACCAAACAGTTTTATTAGACAAAACATTTACCTTGAGCCAATCGTCGTATAGATTGAAAAGAACCATTTGAGGCTCGGTTGCCTTCAGAATCAAGTCACCAAACTTCTCGACCTAAACATATTACGTCAGCCTGCGAACAGGAAATTTCAAAGTTATAAGTGATCAGAATCAATGTGCACTCATATAATAGAACTGTGCTTCTATAGGACAAAGCACCGCTCTGTTCAATGAATGCTTACTCTCTACGAGATGTCTCAAGCAACCGAACAATGTTGTGAACGGCGCAGACTTGAGCCTCGATATTCAAACTTTCATCAGAAAGAAACCAATGATATTATCTAATTGGTCACCGTTTACAGAGTCGAGAAACTTGAAGTTTATCAGCAGTTTAGGGAAGCTTTTCTCAAGCCAGTGCGCTAGTGTCCTCACAGATCTCACCACAAATTTACAGCTGAATTTCACAACTTCACAGACAACCTTAGATTGTGCCCCTGCATTAGCACCCTACACATAACATTTGACGTATTCGCCACCAACTGCCATATGTGAAGTGAAAATTACAAATAAAGTATGAAGGGAATAGGCTGCGTAGTCAGACAAAACTGGGAAAGGTTCGGAGTTACTCGCGAGCGAACAGCGCGCGCTGGTAGACGCGTAGTTGAGGTTACCGCACTAACACTGAACACATTTTCCTGCTGACGCCATTATGACAGCGAGGGGAAGAGGAAGACTCTGCGAGGGTGAAGCCCGCATCATTAGCTACAAGCGCCGCCACCAAGCTTGTACCTGATCGTCACCTTCACTCTTTATGAAATAGAACCGGATGAACGTGTTTACAAAACAAGCCCATTGTCATTAGCGGTTAACAAAAAAAAACTCCAAACCTTCATGATTGCTTGGAATGGCAACATCAACTCCGATCCCTTGATCACAATGTTTGGAAAATCGAGAAGATGGACCTGCAACGAGGATTACTTTTGGAGGGAAAACGGATCTCTGCTACACTTATATGAATTACTGACCTCAAGAGGATCAAGCATAGCCTTTCGAGTTACAATGATTTGACGAGGTTGTTCTTCAACCGGTAATGATCTGATCAGAGCAAGCGACTTCCTCTGCAGTCTTCCACTTGGCAAGCTGGAATCATTTCCGAATAGTTTTGAAGACAAAAAACATTGAAAAAAAGATGAGAGTATCAAGTTGTTGAGCAAATTTGAGTTTGAGACGAAAATGGTCATTGCTGAGTAGTGATCTCATTGTCATTATAACTTTTGCGTTCAGATGTCCGTCAGGCTCGGCGATTGTGAGAGCGACGGACAAGCGATGGGCTATCGCGATCGTCCATCGCTCGTCCGTCGACTGACTCCATTAGCGACTCTGTTCTATATTTATCGAAAGACAAGAAGACAGGTGTGATGGAGAAGGCAGTTTAGCAATCTATCGAAAAAACGCAAAGCATGAAAATTCATCACCTGACTGAGACGTTTCTGGCCTGCCCACACAGAAGTATGAATAATCTTCAAGAACAGCTGCCCAGTGCGGGGATTGAAGATAAAAATGGCACCATTAATAGGTTTCGTCGTCAAGTTACCTTCGAATGTTTTGTGAATGGTCACACGATTATTAGCATTTGTCGTCATCACAAACCTGGACATAGAATGCAGCTACACGGAAATAGAGCGCTCATTACAAAAAACTTACGCATTGGCTTGCGTGATATACTCACCAAATAATCTGATTTGAGAACAATTCTCCATAGTTCTGACTGGTAAGATACGGTTCGGTGGGCTCTGAACTATACAACTGCAGCCCTTTCCGGATACGCTCACGCAGTACGTAAAAGGCTGGGTTAGCCTTGATGATCTTTGCCATGGCTTGCCGAATCAGAGGTTTCATTCCAGGGAAACCAATTTCCATACGCACTGAATTGAGTTGTGATGGATTCTCACACAAAGTCAATAGTGCTATTCACTATGCTTTATACATCTAGTGAACTTTACCTATACAAGTTGTATGCAAGATCCATCGCAATGAGTAGACCTGTTGGGGAAGGATAAATGGACATGTTGTCGGTGGTGTAATCGAGGAATTTTGCCCTTAATTTTTCATACTTGTGGACGAACACACTTCGATCTGGACTTACTACACGTTCCTCAGGAAGCTTACCTTGCATATCTTTCAATATCATGAGAGTCGTAGTCTCCCCAACGAAGCTGCACGTCAGATGCCAGACTTCTGTGTTAGTGTACTGTCCATTAACGTTCGGAAGATGTTTATGACTCCAGACCGTACGACGTACGACAACATTGGAAACGAATTTCTAAATTCCACAACCCTTTACAAAAGAGAGATAGATCCTCACTTGCTGTCAGCCATCAACGACGGACGAGAAACGTTCCACTTATATTGGGCAAACAACTGGATGTCAGCACAAGAGCTGTTCATTTTGTAAGACTTTCTAGGATGAATTGTCTCCTTTTGCACCGTTTGAATCTCGAGTGCGTCCAATTCTTGATCGAAAACCTAAAATAGTGGATGCAGACTCGAATGTAAACTTTGATACGAAAGATGTCAAATTCTTGATAATGCTTGTCGTAATGCAAACATTTACTCTGGTATCGCAACATTTATTACCTGGCACAAATCCATAACCACAGATTCATGAATTTTCTGCCACAAGTGAGCACGGAATATTTGTATGAGAGAAATCTTCAGCGTCGGAATCTTTCCGTGCATGAAAATGCCAGTGAGATCCAGCTGCACTTGAGAACCAAGCGTAAACTGAAGAGCGAGAAGAGAGTATGCCTAGCGTTCCAGATTGGTGCTTCACGTCGGAAAAGTGAACTCTGTTATTGACTCACATTTGCTCGATTGATTGTGGGAGACCACCACAATGTGAAACGACGATTAGGAATTTGATTCAAACCAGATCGTTGAGCATTAGTCAATTTCTTGAATTTCATTGACTCTTCGAAACCAGACGCTCGCTCCCAGAACAAACCTTCCCATGTTGGGAAGTAGGTACCCTAAACGATTGTATTATCCAGGATCGATAACGTGATTTTGGCGGCAACTCACTCTGAACAAAGTGTGCTCCAGAATTCCTTCAACACCACCCAAAGCTTGGATCATATCGGTACGGTAGTTATTCAAGTTCCACAATTTTCCATCGTGTCGCTGGTGAGTCCACCAGAAAGGGTTCTGCTTCAGAATCTGAAATCAGCAACTCTTGCATCAACCCATACATCACATCTAATCTGCGGTAGTGATAACTAGTGTCCAAAATGTCTCGTTACAAAAATCTAGCAGAGACAAGCTTGGACGTTACCAGATCTTCTCTTGTATTACTGATTGTTTAGCTTTCTATAGAATTAAAGCTTCACTATTCTTTTACAACACCACATTCTCACCTGATATGCCTTGAACTCAGTTCTCACGCGCCATCCCTTATCATAGGCGAGAGTATGCCTATCTTTCTGGAAGAGCGTATTGATGCGAGGAATACCACGATCCCACGAATCGTCAAGGTCCTCCAATGTCAAACGACGATTTTGGGCGTTCGCTTCCTGACGCTTCAAAGCGTATTCGGCCCATACACGCTGCGAGTCAATGAACTCGGCTTCCCATGGCTGAAACAATTGTAGGAAAGCCTATACAACAATCTTTCGCAAAATGCAGAATTTGGGAAACTCAAACCTGAATGTATCGATACAGATTGGGGATCAGCTGGTCCTCATCATGGGTCATTCCTGAACGGAAGTGGGTGATACCTCCAGCGTCAGTCTGCTGCATCCAACGCAGATCACTCTGGGGAATCAGCACGTGGCCCATAGAAAGCATACCTTAGAAGGCCACCATTATGAAGGGGAATTTCATAATTAGGTATACAAAAATGATCACCTAGGCCACCAATTTCCTTTGGCGTGTAGAACACCACCGGCGGGAATCTTGCTGGCATTTTAGAGTTTAGCCCAATCTTAATCCTAGTTTGAATTTTATTTTCACATTTCACCAAGAGATCCAGGAGTTCCTGAGTGTTGACCACAGCCTCTCTAAAAATGCAGATTGAATTTCTGGGAGAAGATATGATCAATTCTATCCTCACCTATAATAAGTCATGAGGCCAATAAGGGCAGTGTTCCACTTGTTGACAATTTTCGTGAAAGTTGTTGACCCAGATGACATAAGAATTTGTCTGATTCTATTGTGGAACTTTGACATGGACTCTTCATCGACTTTCAAGAAACACTGCGCTGTACGCTCCTTAGTGACCTATAAAAAGGGATCAACCAATAAAGGCAGGCTCTTCTCTTCACGCCAAGAAGAATGTAAGAATTGAATGCTTTCCTTCTTAATTGTCCTTCTTTCGAATAGCCTAACTTCCCAATTAATAGATAGATCCAAGTGAATAAATAAATAGATGAATAAATAGTGTCAAAAACACACTTCATTCTGCAGATTCCACACTCCGTCGCGGTGAGTGATCTCCTCGGCGGT